GTCCATGATATCTTGAAGATTCATTGTCTAGGTAAATCCTGAATTTCCATATCAGATTTAGGCCAGTTCCTGAAAGAATATGAAATGCCCAGGTTTTCAAATTTTAGGAAGTATTGTGTTTTAGCATTGAAGTCCTCAGAGATGTGTACTTTTCTCTACTATTTACAACTAAGCTTACTTCAGTTTTGTTCCATTTATATGGAGTGATTTCTATAATCTTATGTTGTTGTCTTGATACCTATTTAAATACACATTTTCCTTCCTAATACTAGAAGCAGGACTCAGCCACCTAGAAACCAGTGCCAGATCAATAGCCCTTCCCAGTTGCTTGTGGTGATCAGCCAAATATTTGTCATAAGCAACTGATGATCCCTGGGGACTGCGTCTTTATAGGACAGCTGGAGGCAGCCTGCTTGCCCAGGCCCACATATTCCCACACACGGAGGACCCACTGTGAAGGGATTGTAGTGATTCATTCAACTCTTGTTTACTGCGTCATCTCTTGGAACTTTGCTTTATTGATTTCAACCCAATTAAAACCTGTTTGGATAACATCCTGAACTGCAGTAAATATGCTGGGTTTGAACCTTCCTCTGCCCTCTCCTCTCTAACATGCTGGGCTTGAGGCCCCCCCCCCATTTTTCTCTCTCTCATATCTGATGCCTGATTTATTGGCATACCCTGCACCTCCCAGGAGCTTTCCCTGGACTGTTAGTCAACCTAGTCAGCCTTTACTATGCTTGTGGTCATTCAGCTCTGTTCTTCCGTGAGAGACTGCTCTGCATCTTAGACAATATTTAATTGAAAATTTGTTATTTGCAGATAAATATTTAATATCTGTTTTAGAATATAAACATTAAGCCCCCTCATCTGGTTCATAAAGGCTTTCCACATCTACTGTTTTGGTCTTTAATTATGTTAATAGTAAATTTTGACAAATAATAGTTTTCCTTTTTATATATTCAAATATTTCTAGCTCTTCTTTCATAGAAATTGATATTTTGGTCAGTTGACAGGGCTGTTTCATACCCAAGGCTGGGCTTTAGGATGTATTCAGATTTTTTTCTATGCCTTTATTTCTTCTTTATTATATTTTATATCATTGATATAATGGACTTCCTTTTATATACAGTATACAAGGGGATTTTCAATCTTGTTTCCTTGAGGTGAATAGCCATTATTTGTTTTGATTGTGTTTCATTAATAGTCTAAGTTGTGCCACCTCTTAAATTCTCATATAAATAAAAGGTAATTCTGAAGTCTGTATTCTATGCCACTGATAATTTTGTTTAATATTTTGCAAATACTAACTTTAAAAAATACACTGTTTATTTCTTTTTAAGCTCAGAGATCCTATAAAACATATTAACCTCACGTTTTCCTTTTACATAAACTTTTGTCATACAAGTTATTATGCACTTGAATAAATTTCTATCAAGTTTAAAACTGATGTAGAGTAAGTTGCATGGATATATACAAATATTGTGACAATTTTCATTTTAACAAATTAGCTAAATCTTCAAAAATTTTGCATGTCTTTCCGTGGATCTTGATGCTAGATGATTATGAGTTTGAGGCCAACCTCACCAAGAACAAAGAACAACTGTAGACATATATGCACATAATAGCAGAACTCTTAAATATATGAACCTGAAACTGACAGTATTAAAGAGAGAAATAAACAATTCAATAATAAAATATGGAAATTTTAATACCCAGAATTAAACAATGGATTTAACAGCTCATTGGAGTATAAGCAAGATTATAAAAGCCTTGAATAACAGTATCAACTAATTTGTCTCAACAGACAGTTATAGAATATTACTCAACTGAAGTTTGAACCCAGGACCTGGGCAGTCTCCCTGAGCTTTTTCACTCAAGGCTTAGTGCTCTGCCACTTCGAGCCACAGGTCTATCTGGGTTCCATTCCTCAGTATCACATAAGCAGAAAAAAGCCAGAAGTGGTGTTGTGGCTCAAGTGGTAGAGCACTAGCCTTGAGCTGAAGAGTTGAGGGACAGCACCCAGGCCCAGAATTCAGGCCCCATGACTGGCAAAAAAAAAAGATGTAAATAAGTGTCAGTTCTTTTGAATGTAAGTAATGTAAGTAATTGGATCTGTAGCCTCCAAAACAATATTTGGGGTGTCATTTAGTATCACAGAAAATGGGATTTCAATGATCAGGGAATGAGGCTTTTGTCAAATATGCCATCTGACAATGATTTGTAGTACAAATCTCTTTGGTCTTGTCAACTATCCTTTTGGCTTATTCTGACATCTAGTGACAACTTTTTTCTCCAAATACTACTTCTGGTTGCTTCCCTAGGTTCCCAAGAGTAAAGTCTTTGAGGCTACCAAGTTAGCTATAGATGCCGGCTTCCGCCATGTTGACACTGCTTACGCATACCAAGTGGAAGAGGAGGTAGGGCAGGCCATTCGAAACAAGATTGAAGAGGGCACTGTGAAGAGAGAAGATATATTCCTCACCTCAAAGGTATTGTATCTACAGTGTATAAGTGTGCAAACGAATGATGTGATGTAAAGAAGAGAAAATTATGTATGAAATTGAAGTATCAGTTGGCAAAATGTGCTTATTGGTGCGCCTTTTATTCTCACTTATTTCCCATAGAGGATATATTCTGTAAGTCACCTGTAATCCTAGCCACTCAGGAGGCTGAAATCTGAGGATCATGGTTCAAAGCCAGCTTGGGCAGGAAAGACGAGGAGACTCTTGTCTCAATTAACCACCAAAGAACCAGAAGTGGAGCTGTGCAAAGAAGCTTGAGCAAAGGAGCTCAGAGACAGTGCTCAGGTCCTACATTCAAACCCAGGACTGATACACTCACACATACACACACATACGCACACACAAACACACAAAGCAGTTTACAAAGATAATGACTATTTAGAGACTGTATACAAATTTATAACATTAAAATGCCTTTATGTCTATGTCCTTAACTCAAAGCACCATTATTTAGAATGGGCTCAGAGGTGATATAGACTATGCCAAAATTATGACTTCCCTTCTCCCCTTGCTTATTTTCTATATTTTCTTCACATTTAGAAGATCAGTTTTTAGCACTCATAAATATCAGAGAATTGATATTATCTGGATAGTAAATGATTTTCAGTTAAAATGTACTGATTTGTGTAATATGTTGAAATGTTCAAAATGTGTCCCTCCAGCCGTGTAAATATAAAGAGGCTAGTTGTTCATATTTTAATGAATGAGAGATGTAGAGCAATAATAAATTTATAATATGCATGAAAAGTAATTCAGAGATTTGAAGTCATTATTACTTGATTAAAATTATCCTTTTTCAAATGCATTTCCAATTTCTATAAATTGATGAACAATAACCCAATATAATGGGACTCACTTTGACAGGGCAAATAAAAGGAAATCGAAATATGAAGGTGTGTTTTCCAACATCTGTTTCTTTCCAGTATAGACATGCCAATCTTCTAAGATTTAAATGTCCATCTTTGGATCATTTATTAATCAAGAACAATTTCTATTCTTCAATTTCCAAAGCTTTGGTGTACTTTCTTTCGTCCAGAACTGGTCCAACCTAGCTTGGAAAGATCACTGGCAAACCTCAAACTGGACTATGTTGACCTCTATCTCATGCATTATCCAGTGCCTATGAAGGTAGGCAATGTATGATAAACTTGGTGGGTATGAGCATAATTTCCACAAATGGTTGAGTTAAGCTTCTGTCAGGAACTGAAATAAAGTTTATTTGTATGTTTTTCCAACTATGCAAATAAATTAGACAAACATTAATGGATTAAGAGATAGAAACTTCAAGTGTTGCCTTTATTTAGAGATTACAGATAAGAGGTAGAAATGACTGGGCTTATACAACGTTTTCCCCTATCGTTACTAGAGGTTTCTTTATTGTTTCTCAATTTTGTCTATTGGTGGTAAATGTGGCTTTGAAACAGTTTAAGTTTCATGGTCATTAGCTATCAGTAGTTTCTCCACAACTCCCATGATCAAGGGCCGACTTGCATGCAGCCTACTTTAGCCATTTTTGGTTCCGGTAGGTAAAGAATCTTCATAGTTAAGGCAGGTTCAAGATGGATATCCATTGTTGTTGATGGTCCTTTCCAGAGAATCTTGCACATTTTACTTTAGAAGAAAATGTAGTAATAAGCAGAGTTACCTACATGAAGTAGGAGATGCAGAAGGTCGGGTAGAAGGATTATTTAATAATACTATATACAGGGGCTGTGAAGGTGGCTCAGTGATGGAGCGCTTGCCTTGCATGCCTGAAGCCCTGGGTTTGATTCCTCAGCACCACAGAAGCAAAAAGAAAAAAGCCAGAAGTGGTGCTGTGGCTCGAGTGGTAGAGCGCTAGCCTTGAGCTGAAGAGCTGAAGGACAGTGCCCAGGCCCAGAATTCAGGCCCCATGACTGGAACCCTGCCCCCCGAAAAAATAATAATACTCTCTATATAATCAGCATTAGAGAATAGAGTAACCATTCACCCAAAAATATTTCTAAGAACTTAGTACACAAGCCACTTGGTAGAGCTCAGTAGGGGGAGTGAGTGAGGTTCTACTTGCTTTTCTTGTATGTTTAGTGACTCATTCCCTCTCATACATGGAGAAGTATTGCATGGGTAACAAATATGTGATTAATGAGGCTGATGTAATTACTTCTTTTTTAAAAATAAGTTTTTTATTGTGAAAATACTGTACTGAGGGGTTACAGTTACATGATCAAGGTAATGAGAAAATTTCTTATCCAACATTGTTGCCAGCTTCTTTTCTAGCAAGGGGATGACCTTTTTCCAACCAATGAACATGGGAAGCCAATATTGGACACAGTGGAGTTCTGTGCCACGTGGGAGGTGAGTGAGTATTTGAAAGAAAGGCAACAGAGGAAGCTAGAAGAGGAGAGCTGGGTGGTATGTCTAGGTCAGAGAATGGGGTACATTACGTTGGCTGTGGACATTCATTAGGTTTATGAGGATGTTATGCTGGATTAGTGGATGAATGCATTGATGGAAAACTATAGAGAAAAACAGAGAGAAGCAGAATTGAAGGCAATAGGAATAGACATCTTTGTCTTCTTATGTAGTAATGTCTTCAATTCTACAATAAGGACCCAGAAATTCTTTTTCTGGCTGCCATTACATCTTTTGTTATTATATTTATCAGTTTCTCCTTTGCAAATCAATTCTAATGATTTTAATTATCATTTCTAGCCAGTGAAGGTAGTGGAGTTCTGGTTTTGTTTTGTTTTTATTTTGAATTTTTTGGCAAGACTAGGAAATCAAACACAGAGCCAAGGTAACCTCAGTTTCTCTACCACTGAGCACCACGTCTGGCTTTTTCTGTTTATGTGGTACAAGGCAAGCACTCTATCTCTGATCCACCTTCCCAGTCCTTACTGTATTCTTTTGAACAGTTCCATCTCCTATTTTTTCCTGTAATGTTTTATGGGTGTCTGCTTTGACTTCAAGATCTTTGATCTATTTATATTTGCTTCTGGTGCAGGGTGATATATTGGCATAGAGCTTTAGTTTTCGACAGGTGTTTAACCAATTTTGCCAGTACCATTTACTGAAGAGGCTGTCTTTCTTCCATTCTATTTTTTCAGCTCCCTTATCAAAGATTAGGTGGCTACATGTCTGTGGGTTCATTTTTGGATCTTTAATTCTATTCCATTGGTCCTGAGGTCTGTTCTTGTGCCAGTACCAAGCTGTTTTGATTAGGCTTTGGAGTAGAGTTTGAAGTTTGGTATTGATATTCTTCCAGCCCTGTTCTTTCAGCTAAGGATTGTTTTTGCTATTCCATATAAATGTTTGGACTCCTTCTTCTATTTCCTTGAAGAATGAGGTTAGGATATTGATAGGTATTGCATTGAATTTGTAGATAGTCTTTGGAAGTATTGCCATTTTCACGATGCTAATCTTCCCAATCCAGGAGCATTGGAGGTTTTTCCACTTCTTTAGTTCTGCTTTAATTTCCTTTTTCAGGTTTTTAAAGTTTTAATCATAGAGGTCCTTTACTTCTTTAGTTAACTTCAAGTATTTTATTTTTGTCGGGCTATTACACAAGGAGTTGCTTTCCTGATTTCAGCCGCACTCTTCTCATTATTGGCATATGGGAAAGCCATTGATTTTTGAGGGTTAATTTTGTGTCCTGCTACTTTACCAAAGTTTCAAATCAGTTTGAGTAACTTGGGAGTGGAGTCCATGGGGTTCTTTAAATATAAGATCCTGTCATCTGCAAAGAGGGAGAGTTTTACTTCTTCTTTTCCTATTTGGATCCCTTGTATGTTTGCATCTTATCTTAATGCTCTTGCTAGGCATTCTAATACTAAATTGAAGAGAAGTCGAGAGAGTAGACATCCTTGTCTTGTTCCTGATTTTAGAGGAAATGGCTTTAGCTTTTTGCCATTAAGTATAATGCTGTCATTCATAGCCTTTATTATATTGAGGAATGTTCCATGGATTCTTACTTTTTCCAGAGCTTTAATAATAAAGGAGTGTTGGATGTTATCAAATGCTTTTTTCTGCATCTATTGAGCTAAACATGTGGTTTTTATCCTTGCTCTTGTTGATGTGCTTAATTGTATTAATAGATTTGCATATATTGAACCAGCTTTGCATCCTGAAATGAATTCCGTTTGATCATGATGTATGATTATTTTTTGATGAGTGACCAAAATTTTGTTAAGAAGTTATACATCGATGTTCATCAAGGAAATGGGTCTATAGTTCTCTTTCTTTGATGAGTCCCTGCCTGGTTTTTGGGATGAGGGTTATGCTGGTTTCACAGAAGGAGTTTGGTAGTGAACTTTAACATTCAATTTCATTGAAGAGTTGGAGGAGTATGGGTGTGAGTTCTGCTTTGAAGGCCTTGTAGAATTCAGCTGTAAATTGATCCGGTCCTGGGCTTTTCTTGGGTGGGAGGTCTCTTATTACTGGTTCTATTTTGAAGTTTGATATAGGTCTGTTAAGTTGGTTTAATTAATCTTGATTTAGTTTTGACATGTCAATATTTGCTAGAAATTTGTCCCTTTGTTCCAAAATCTCAAGCTTATTAGCATAAAGGTTTGAGAAGTATTACCTTATAATGTTCTGAATCTTGGTTTTTTTCTGTGGTGATGTTACCAGTCTCAACTCTGAGTTAGTTTATTGGGTGTGTTCTCTTCTTTTTCAAATAGATTTGCTAAGGATCTATTAATTTTGTTAATTTTTTAAAAGAACCAACTCTTTGTTTTGTTGATTCTTTCTATGGATTTTTTAATTTTATTTAAACTTTATTTTTTTCTTCTTGTTTATATTGTGAAAATAGTGTACAGAGGGGTTATAATTACATGGAGAAGATAATGAGTACATTTCTTAATCAAGCATTAAATTCATTTAATTCTGATGTAATTTTAATTATTTTTTTCTGTTTACTTGATTGGGGTTTAGCTTGTTGCTCTTTTTCAAGGAGGTTCAGATGTCTTATTAAATTATTGGTTTCAGATATCTCCAATTTGTTGATGTAGGAACTCAGAGCTATAAACTTGACTCTGAGTACTGCCTTTGCTGTGTCCCAGAGGAGCTGGTAATTCGTGTGTCCATTTTTGTTGAATATCATGAACATTTGAATTTCCTTTCTAGTCTCTTCTATGACCCACTGGTGGATGAACAGTGTGTTGTTCAGCCTCCATGTGTTACAGGATTTTCTTTGGTGGCTTTTGGTGTTGAATTTAATTTTATTCCCTTGTGGTCTGAGAGTATGCAGGGCATAATTTCAATGTTTCTAAACTTGGACAAATTTGCTTTGTGACCTAAAATGTGGTTAATTTTTGAGAATGTTCCATGTGCTGCTGAGAAGAACATGTATTTGTTAGATGTCTGTGAGGTCCAGTTTATCTATGCAGTTGTTTAGGTCTGAGGGTTCTCAGTTGAGTTTTTGCTGGGTTGATCTATGCAGCAGGGATCGTGATGTGTTAAAGTCCCTAATAATTAATGTCTTTGGATCTATGTGTGATTTTAGGAAAAGCAGTGTGTCTTGGATAAATTTGGGTGCTCTGTATTTGGTGAATAGATATTTAGAATTGTAATATCCTCCTGAGGGAGAGATCCCTTGATTAGTATGCAATGACCTTCTTTACTTCTTGCAAATTTTAATTTTAAGTGTATTTTATCTGATATTAGGATTGCAACTCCCACCTGTTTATAGAGGTGTTTGCTCAGTCGATTTTATTCCCACCTTTCACTTTCAAAATGTGTTTGTTTTTGTGGGCAAGGTGTGCCTCTTGAAGGCAGCAGATAGAAGGATCTTGCTTTTTGATCCAACTAGACATTTTATGTTGTTAATTGGAGAGTTAAGTCCATTAATTTTGAGAGTTAAGACTGAAAGGTGTTTGGTAGTTCTTGCCATGTTATCCACATTCATGGAGCTGTGCCAACCTGGTTCTTCCTGTGATTCTTGGATTCTGTGGGAGCTGTTTGTTTGTTTGTTTTTTTGACCTTTATTGTGCTCTTGTTGGTTTTCTATGTGTAGGACATCTTTAAGTATCTTTTGTAGGGCTGGTTTTGTGGAGATCATTCTTTTCTGTAGAAGGTTTTTATTTGACCTTCTATTATGAAGGACAGTTTAGCTGTGTACAGTATTTTTGGTTGATAGTTGTTTGTCTTTAGGGCATGGCATACATCATTCTAGGCTCTTATTGCTTTAATTGTCTCTGCTGAGAAATCTGAAGTTATTCTGATTGGTTTCTCTTTTTTTAATTTTTTCTTTTTTCTTTTTTGGGTCTGGTCATGGGGCCTGAACTCTGAGCCTGGGCGCTGTCCCTCAGCTCTTCAGCTCAAGGCTATCACTCTACCACTTGAACCTCAGCACCACTTCTGGCTTTTTTCTTTTTGCTTATATGGTGCTGAGGAATTGAATCCAGGGGCTCATGCTTGCAAGGCAAGCACTCTACCACTGAGCCACCTTCCCAGTCCCTGGTTTTTCTTTATAGGTGACTAATCTTTTCTCCTTGACAGCTTTAAGGATCGTTTCCTTGGTCGGAATTGATCCAGTACAGATTACAATGTGATGGCGGGATGTCCTGTCGTGGTCTGGTCAATTTGGGGTTCTAAAGGATTCTTATATCTGCATAGGCCTATCTTTTTGCATGTTTGGGAAGTTCTGTGCTAGGATCCTATTAAATAAAATTCCTAGACCATTAACTTCTGTCTCTAGGTGCTCCTCTACACCCATTAGTCTCAAATTAGGCTGCTATAGATGCTGGCTTCCGGCATATTGACACTGCATATGTGTACGAAGTGGAAGAGGAGGTAGGGCGGGCCATTCGAAGCAAGATTGAAGAGGGCACTGTGAAGAGAGAAGACATATTCCTCACCTCAAAGGTATGCTGCCTACAATAGGTAGATGCAAATTTATTGAAATGTGATTTGGGGAAGAATTACATGATTGGAGCAGTAGTTGGAAGAATTGTTCTTGGTGCTACTATTGTTATTCACATACTTTTCACATGTAAGGTCTAGTATTAAAAAGAGTCAAATAATTACTTCCTTAGTCTCTATGAATTGATAGGTTCACAGACACTTTAACATTCAAAGTCTCAACTTGAATCATTGTTTTAACGGGTTCTATAGAACCACTCAGATCTATGGTCAAATCACACTGTTCTTCATGTCCAGAGTAACTTTCTAAAATGTTATTCATACTATTTGGAATATTAAATCTTACCTTTATTCTTGGAAGAGATCAGATGAGAATTTGCTGGGTATTAAACAAAACACTGCTAAAGTGGGTTTTTTTTTTGCCAAGTGCATTTTAAAATATTCAAATATTTTTCCTTTCATTGATGGAAATAAAGGTATGTGGATATGTCTCCACTGAACTGAAAAGAAGACATGTTTAGAGAAATAGTAATTGTGCAATCTCTTTGGAATAGGATTCAGAGTTTGGATAATTTTATTGATTGACCAAAATGATATCTCAAGTAATTTCCTTCCATTGTCCAGCAAATTATTTTAACAATGACATGGCCCTGGCAGGTCAAGGAAACCTAAGAATAAAGGCATTAATTTTCCCCTATGGACACCAATATCTTCCTAGTATAAAACTTCTCTGAATTTGGTGAATCAGATTCTCAATTGAGGTAAACCATCAACCCAGCACAATTTGTATTTTTGAATATTTGCAGGTCTGGTCCACATTCAATGGACCAGAGCTAGTCCGGCCTTGTCTGGAAAGATCACTGAAGAAACTACAGTTGGATTATGTGGATCTTTACCTTATTCATTTACCAACTTCATTGAAGGTAGGCTATTTGCATCATCTAAGTGAAGCATATAAGTGAATATGTTCAATATAATTATTTCCATAAATGATTGAGAAGAAGCTTTGATCATCAATTTATGTAAGCTTTGGTTAAAAATTGATAGAATGACCCAGGATATTTCATATGAGTTTATTGAATTATGTAAATAGACAGGTGAATGAATGGATAGATTTAGATTTACTCTTCAGCTATTTCTTTTTTCTTTTTTATCGGTCATGGGTTCTGAATTCCAGGCCTGGGTGCTGTCCCTCAGCTCTTCATCTCAAAGTTAGTGCTCTACCACTTGAGCCACAGTGCCACTTCTGGTTTTTTGTGCTTATGTGGCACTGAGGAATGGAACCCAGGGCCTCATACAAGCAAGGCAAGCACTCTACCACTAAGCCACCTTCCCAGCCCTAAGCTATTTCTGTTTCTCCATCCCTTACATTTTTATTACTGGAGGCTTGCTTGTGTTTTGTCCCAGCGTTGCCCACAATGGCAAATAATATTTGGATAGTTCATGTGTCCTGACCCTTACCCTTTGATAACTTGATTGCATCTTTCAGTATTAGAATCATTCTCTCTGACAACTTTTGGTTCACCATTTCTGGCTTCACTTATTTGCCTTGGACTCACATGTATTCAAATCTCTAAAGAATACTAATTATCCTGAATCAAGATTGAAATCCATTCTTGTGGAATATCAAGGCCATGTAATTGTTGACTTTCCCAGTGAGAGAGAAGTATTTCCCTGGAGAAAGTGAAGCAGAGAAGTAACACAAGTCCCAGGGAGATCTCTTGGGATGTGAAACCAATATTTAATAATACTTATAATTGATAGGGGATTACAACTACCTAGACTCCTAAAGACATTCCTTATTACTCTCATTCTAGCATCTTTGTAAGCATAAGTAAGTGGAGGAGTTCTTCATTAATGCTCATTTACTGTTTCATTCCTGAAGTGTACAAAGGACCACGGCTCTGGGTAGGATGACAGGGCTTGGTGAGGTTGCTGTAATGTCTGCTTTTATTGAAGCATGGAGAAGAAGTCTTTCTGAAAGATGAGCATGGAAAATTCATATTTGACACAGTGGATCTCTGTGACACATGGGAGGTGAGTACTTGAAGAATAGACCTGAGAGGATGCCTAGAGAGTCAGGTCATGTCTCCAACTCCAAGAATGGAATCTGTACCCTTGAAATCTCGAAACTCATGACATTTACAATGGTGTTTTGCAGGAGTGATAGGGGAGAAAGCATTAGTGGAAAGTAAAAGACATGAATGTCTGAACAGAATTGATGACAAGAAGAGTGATCTCTTGCTTCCTTATGCAGTGATGTCTCTATCTCTCCAAGGAGCACACAAAATTCTTTCTTTGTATGTGAATATATTCTCCAAATGTCTTCACCATTTTTCTTCTACCAACAATCATATGTAGTCAGTTCATTGTTTATTGATAGTGTTTCCTTCATCAGCTCCATTTTGCATTTATAATGATTCTACCAATGGTACTGATGGATCGGCAAACCTCTTCCTTTTTAGGCCATGGGGAAGTGTAAGGATGCAGGATTGACCAAGTCCATTGGGGTGTCCAACTTTAATCGCAGGCAACTGGAGAGGATCCTGAACAAACCAGGGCTCAAGTACAAGCCTGTCTGCAACCAGGTGAGTTCCTGCTTCCTCTTCTCCGTCTCTTATTCACTGACTTGTTGCTGTGTTTCTGCCTGCTATTACTTTTACCTTCTCCCCTGTTTAACTTACTTTTGTGGAATGGAAGATTCTAAGAACAAGGATGGGGGGGTTGGCCAATTGTGTCTGTGCATAGTGAGAGATTCATAGTGTCCAGTGAATGGAAGAATCTGGAGGATGTAAAAGTCATCAAGGTGGGCTACAGTCATTAGACTTAAGAGGCAAAGTACTTATTGTTGGCCTATCAATGATGGAGAGATTGGATTGACAATGGTGTCGTGTATAAAAAACAAGGAAGTCCCATAAAATCACCAATTTGGAAAGGAGCAGTGGGAGAAGGAAGGAAGTGTGGAGATCCATGTGAAGGGCTGTGGAGTGGATGCTTTGGTACTTTTTGCTGTTGTGTCTCCCTTCAGGATTCTTGGCTAGTGACATAGGTACATGGAGAGTAAAGTGGGGGCTGCCAAAAGGATCACACAGATCAAATTATCTGTTGGTGGGGATCTTAGTGAAATCCATATATGAAAACTTAGAGTAAAACACAGAGCTGACTCAATGCATGAAAACCTCTAAGTCAACTCCTCTTTTCTGCTTTTTTTTTTTTAAATCACATCTAGTCTGTGCCTGGTTTGAGCCTCTATATTACTGTCGTCAACAGTGTTTTGAACACAAAGCTGGTCATACTGTTTGAATTTGTGGACAGTGACACAATCCTAAAATTTCCCAACATGAATGTGAAGGCAGTTTCATTATAAGTTTAATCAAGGCTTTTGTAATGAAATTTATCAAGCACTTGGAATATTCATATTTTTCCAAATTTGATGCTAATTATTCAACACATGACCACACTGTCCTTATTAATGCAGGTAGATCGTCATCCACATCTGTAGCATTTTTGCTGATTCTCTTCAATAACATTGTAGACCTGGACATTCTCCTTTAGACACTTGAGCAGATGTCTTCTTGGAATAAAAATACTTTCTTACATAGTTATATTTCTGTGACTATATTCTAAAACTTAACGCCAATTCATTTGCATCATTTAAATCCAGTCTGTACTCAAATTTTCCTATGATTTGATCTGTTCATTAAGTAGGCCCACCTAGATGTATCCTTCATAAAGACATAGTTTCCTGACTGACAATTACTGGTTGCCTAGATGTTGACCATTGTCAATAAAGGAGGTCCTTTGATATTTTCACCTAGTATTTTAATATTCATTCATAATCCCTGTAAGAATTAGAGGCCATAGGATTTATGAAAATTTTCTTTTGGTTTAACTTCAGGTGTGTACTTTCCTTAGCAGATATTTAAGTAAAAACAAAATTTACTCAACATGTCAGAATAAACTATAATGATTTCCATAAGACAGAGCAAATCTTGATACTTGCCTTTCAGTTTAGAGTGTTCTAAGAAAGGAGTTAAAGGAACAGTCTCTATCAAAAGGCAAAATTGTTTTTATTTATATAACCTTCTTTATTTAGGTCTATTCCTTTGAGCTAATGCATTTTCATTCCATTGAGTGCATATAATTTTTTATGGGACAGAACTATGGCTTACTCTCAGGGACTCACTCTCTCTCTTAGTTTTGTGGCTAAGGTTGATGCTTGCCACCTAAGCATGCCTTCTCCTCCAGACTTTTACTGTTTAATTAGAGATAAGAGTCTTGCAGAATGATCTGTTTGGGCTGACTCAGAACCTCATTTCTCATGACTCAGCCTCTTCAGTAGTGATAGGGTTATAAGCATTAGTCACTGGCACTCAATTTCATGAAAAACACTCTGAAAAACAAAAAACAAAACTTTGACCAGTGTCACTAGTAGAATGCCTGCCAAAATGGTGGTTTTGTCCTATAAGTTTTCCCTGTTCAAATATCAGGTCTACATTTCAGATAGGTCTTTTGTGCCCCACAAATAGAGTTTGTCATGCCTCTTTCTCCTGTAAATGGTATTTAGCATATGTTGTGGTCTACTTTAGGAAGATTACTTTTTTTAGACATATCCAGGTAATAGATATGCAAAATTTATTTGTTAGAAAGTAAACATTACATTATTTTGATCATTTCAATTCAAATTGAATGTAACACATTTTTATTCAAGTTTGCTTACTCTTAATTTTTCTTCTTGATCAGTGCATAAAATTTGCATATAATTCCTGTCATATCCATCTGCAGGTGGAATGTCATCCTTATCTCAACCAGAGCAAACTGTTGGATTTCTGCAAGTCCAAGGACGTTGTCCTGGTTGCCCATAGTGCTCTGGGAACTCAACGAGCGAAACAATGGTAATCCAATAAAATATTTACCAAAACACAATTTTGAATCCAATATTTTGATTTGTGCTTAGTTTTCTGGCATTGATTTTGAACTGGTTTAGGAACCGGGGAGAATTGCATTTCTGGCATGGTCCCTCATATGACCGATGCTGATGGATCAAGAGATTGCATTTGATGACTTGGTCTAGAGCAGGCATCCTCAAGCATATTGGAGCTCTGCAAACAAATAGAATACTCCGTCTGCAGTTCAGCATTTCTGTCTTTCCTTCCAGGGTAGACCCCAATGCCCCATTTCTTCTGAAGGACCCAGGTCTTGGGGCTGTGGCAAAAAAGCACAATCGCAGTCCAGCTCAGATTGCCCTTCGCTACCATCTGCAACGTGGGGTTGTGACCCGGGCTTAGAGTTTCATAGAAAAAGAGATAAAAGAGAACACACAGGTGATAAGGGGGTACTGTGGGCATTAGGTCTCTTGCATAGAATGTGCAGGTGAGGGGGTGCTGTGCTGCGGTCATAGTATTCTTCATTTGGGTGTTATCTTGGAACTTCTTAGCACCATTTTTGGGACCAAATTGTTTTCCCTAGAATTTCCTGTACATGGGTGATTTATGGTGTTCTTGGATATCCTATTTCTGTGTATATAATGGGAGAGACTGCACAGTTTGAGAGACTTAGGGCTGGAAAGAGTACAGAGGATTTAATCAGCCATGTGCTCTACAACTATTCTAATATGAGAAATTTTTCTACCTATACAAGTTGCAATATGATCCACCTCTGAGGCAAACAGGTTGAATACAGAGTACATCCATTTAGGTGGAGAATGCATTGTTGGACAATTTGTTTGGCCTTAGCCAAATGAAGTCCTTTGTATGTTGGAACCTCTCCTGTATTTACAATAAATTCTCTAATATTTACTGGACAAATGTATCAGGATGCTGATTGGTTATTGCATAGTAGCTCTCAGCAATTCTCCATGTGGTTTGTCATTCACTAGAAAACTAGACCAAAGATTTCTTCTCATATAATACTATCCAAAGTAGGTAAGAAGAGAATTGCCAAACTGTTTCATGCCTTAGATCAGCATTAGCACATAATTCTTTTGCCAAGCTCTAATGGACAATGCAGTTTACAAACCAAGCAACATTAAATGAGTGAGGAAATAGCATTCCTTAGGAGAAGAGTTTGTCAATGTATACAGCAAAGAGTGTTGGAGACATAGGGATATGTATTTCTGGAGGAGCAAGTTTGCATCTTGTCATTAATGTACATTCTCGAGAGTGTTTTGCACATTCATATATATTTGTTGTAGTAGCTTCTCAAAATTTCTATCGATAATTTTATTTGATCTTGGGTATATTTTACCTAAGCAAAAGTTCCTTCTCTAACTATAGTCATCATGACTTTATAGTTGATGTGGTTGATGACTGTCCTGTCTTTTCTTTGGAATACAAGAATATTCTCCCAAATTATCTCCCAAGAGTTTGACGGTTTTGCTTCCAAAGACTAATTTTGCTGGTTCTTTAGAGGTAGTATGTCACAGACTTTTCTGTCTAGACTAGTATTGAACCATGAGTTTTAGCATTTTAGCCCCATTGATAGCTAATATTTCATTAACATTTGGGCAAATTGTGAATTAAACCCTGTGGAAAAGAACATGGTCACATTTTAAGTGTATGCGATGTCATACAGACACCTAACATTGTACTTAACAATGGCTAAGTTATCTTGCATACATAAAAACCTTTTCAGTAGTAGCTTTGTTAACTTCTATGTACATTAGACTGCAATCAAAACTATATCAACTTTGTTCATGCCCACTGTCTTTTGTGATTTCTTCTGTGTATAATCTTCTACTGTATCAACATATTTTATCTCGAATGTATTTCCTTTTTTGCTACTTGAGTGTTTTGACTTTGTATTATTAAATCTGTTTCACTTGAACTTCTAAGATTGCCAAATATACAATTTAAGAATGGTAAAACTTGTCTCCTCGTATGATAGGCTTTTGAATTCCAGTTGCCTTTAGAAGACATGGAAGTCCTAGAAGGCCTGAACAGAATTTTTCGATATCATCCACGTATTGGGTAAGGAACTTTGGCAAAAATATTTTCTGAATTTTCTTTAGTTTCAAGTCTCTCCTTTCTTTCTTTCTTTCTTTTTTTTCCTTATGGTCCGGTCGTGAGGCCTGAACTCTGGGCCTCTGCGCTGTCCCTCAGCTCTTCAGCTCAAGGCTAGTGCTCTACCAGTTGAGCTACAGCACCACTTTCGGCTATTTTTTTCCTT